AAACTCAGTGGTATTGCTTTTAAATGTAGGCTGAGTTCAGGCCTAAATGACCATTTTTTCTTTTACAAAACTGATTATAGAATGGCTGAATGCCAAATAAACACAACACATGTTAATATTTCAAATTGGATTTAAATCACATTTGAAAAAATAAAGTAAATTCTGGTCATTCCGAATTAGATACAATGCATTGTCAGGTTATTTCGTAATTGTACATTGGATTTTTTTTATGCCATGTCTTTTTGACAGTCCGAATTCAGAAATAAAACCATATTTTAAGTCGAAATATAAAGAAGATTTAAAAGCTCGGCAAATGTTGATGAAATGATGCACGCAAAAGGCATTTATACAGTAAAGCTAAAGGAAAATTATTTATTAGCAACTTAGACATGATGATAGGACAACAAAGTGTGAAAAACATGAGGTGTTAAACACTTTTTTATTTACATTTTTGCGGGTGAGCAGATTTGCTTTGATTTGTTTCCTTTGTGAAACCGCACTGACCTCAAAAGTTGTCCGTGTTTATTGGGTCCACGCTGCAGGAGCTCACATCTACATCCGATTGAAGAGAAAAAGTTTAAAGCCCACCTCTGATCCCTTCTAATTAAATGAAAACACAGTGGGATGCCCACAGTAAGACTGCATTTTTTTATTTATTTTTTCAAATGCGCACATAAACACAGTTTTGAAGGTAACCGGTGTGGGCGTCTCTATGGGGAACAACACAGAGCTCCAGCATCTAACTCTGTTGTGTCCTCTTGTGCAGTGCAGTCACACACCAGGCTGACATGCAACACGCTGCAGATCATGAGCATAAATAAGCAAGGGAATGTTTTACCTGAAAGAGGGAGCATTAATTCAAAGGCATCACTCTAGTACCAAGAAGAAATGTTGCCTCATTAGTGTTACCCCACTGCTTTTACTCAGCAGTAGCAATGAAGAAAGTGAAGCCATGTGCCACTCTTACTGCACAGACATCTCGTCTCCTGAGATCTTAGTCTGCCTAAAAAATACTGCACATTGTTATGTGTTCATTTGTGCGGCAACAGGTTCAACAGAAATCCCCCCCGAATGCCAAGAACGTGGCCTTTCAAATGCTCGCAACGCGCCAGTTTCCAGCAGGTAATGTGACATAACTGTTGGTGGAGAGCTGCTCTGCTTCCGAACACAAAGCTCGTTGTTGTGCAGAGGATGATAAGCAGGACGATGAGATTTGGATGAGAATGAGAAGAGGTGAGGAGACAAGGACAGACATCATTTGGAGGACGAGTCGGCCTGCCTGCTCTCATCCCACGTGATTGACAGATTGGTGCAATGGGTGCACTCGTTCGGATGCCATCACGCTCGTTTCCCTAGGAATCTGTCTGTCAGTACTGTCTAAGCAGAGCGACAGCCATGACATCTAATCACAGGTGAGCTGGCACCTCATAACTTCTACCTAATGTGCTGCAGGTACAGAGGAGGGAAGAGGGGGGCACAGCCCAACACTACCGCCATCCTGACGCTATTTATAGCCCCTTCAGAGGCCACCAGCAGGAAGTGGATCATACTGAGGGGTTAGGGAAGGTGTCACCACTTTCTCTCTCAAGTCGCCATATTTAGATATAGGTCTCTGTTGACAAGATTAAACAATGAGGTGTCCTGGTATCTGGGTGATACATTTTTCTGGGTTACACGTCTGACAGAGCAACATAAAAAGAGGGCAGATTGACTACACGTAGCTACAAGATGATAATGAGTCATTTACATAATGTTGCTACAACATTATAATTACCTGGCAATTAAAGCAACTCAAAAGCCTCATTATGGGATGTCCTGAGGGCTGGTAAGACTGGGACACATATCGTGCACTCATTCAGACTCAAGTCAGACCATCAATGTTTCTTTTTTTCAAATCCCATAAGCTTCAGAAGCTTAAGTGTTGAATTATTATATGGTAACAAAAGCATTTTGACAACCATTAAAAAAAACTTCAGACTATTTGATATGGGGTTCTGTGGAACAAATTTGAATGGTTAATACCTTATTTGTGGTAGATAACTCTATTTAAACAATCTCCATTTGAAGAAAAATAGTTTATTTCTGACCAGAATGACAACAAAAATGCTAGTTTGAGCTAAGCTAAGACCAAAGTTATGTTTTAAATCAACTCAGATCTCATAAATTGATATAAGATTATGCAAATGCTGCCTTATAGACTGTTACATTGTCATACGATTGGGAAATGGCATATACAAGAGAGTTTTCAAAGTGTCTCAAAACATTGCAGGGGTTCTCCGTTTTATAGCATGCATCACAGAGGTGTGTAATCTTCTTGACTAAATTTTGAATAAAATTTTGCAAGGTGTGCAAGGTGGTGATTTTCAAAAACTGTGCCGCTCAAAATGCAGGTGCATGGCTCTCCGCTCTTTTGGTTGCAAACACTTAGAAGTCAAGAATTGCAACAGAATCTCCATTTGTTTTCTTGCCATTTTGAGTTGCCATCTTGTTTCCAAAAGCCCAGAAATGGTGCTTTGACACTGTCTCAACTCTCATCGGTTCTGCACCATACCACACCAATTAAGGGCCTGCCCACTGTCGGTACCCACCCCCACTCAGCCCAGTTTATGGGACCACCTTGTTTTTGGTTCCAAGCAGTCTGCTCCGAGGTGCCAGTTTTGACGTAAACAGACAGCAGCTATTGATTGGCCCAAAGAGGTACATCACTGGATGACCTGCCTATCAAAACTGCAAATTACATCTGAATTGTCACTTCCTCTCTGATCTTGTTGATGGACAGCACCACAAGAAATGAGTGCATTTACAGAGAGATGTCAAACATGATGGCACAGCATGGCTACACCCATATTTATGAGCAGTGCCTGGATAAATAAATTGAAGTCCAATTATAGGGCGAATAAGGATCACAACAGTTGAAGTGGTTCAAGCACAATGACCTGTTACAATACTACCCACTTTGCATTGACGATCCTGTCCACAGAGCGGGGAAACAAGTCACATTGGCAAATCACCTGCACGTGAAAAGTACCAATAAGACAAGAGCAAAGTGGAGTGACACGTATCAATGGCAAAGCAGCCCAAGTCACTATCTTTAATAACTCTGGTTGCAAACTTGGCAACAATGTGAGTTCACAAAAACCCTTATTCAGAATTAGAGACTGAAGGTGTATTAAGGGTGCATTCACACCAGCCCTGTTTAGTCCTCTTTAATCAAACTCTAGCTCGTTTTCCTAGAAAGTACGGTTCGTTTCGGGAGGTGTGAACACGCCATCAAACTCTCTCATGGAACAAAAAAGCGAACTCTGGCCCGGGCTAAAACCTAGGTCTCGGTCCGGTAAAAGAGAATTCCAGCGCGTTTCGAGTACAGTGTGAATGTAAACAGACCGGACCCCGCTCCACAAGCAAGAAGTGGAGTACAGCGCAGGGCAAACAAACACACATTTCTCTTACCTTATATGGAGCCATCAGCTTGTCTTGTGTGAAAAACAATATTCTCCATGGTCTTCTGTCTCATCTTCTGCTCATTCTGAGTCCAGTTTTGAAAAATGGCAAAATATAACTCCTAAAACTGCTAAAACTTGATGCCACTCCATTTTTGCTTTTATTTCCAGAAGAAGAAGAAGTGTCTTCAGAGGTTTTTGTGTTATTTCTTTCAGTAGTTCTTGGTGCAGCGCCCCCACAGGCGAGCGGGGGAATAGGTTGGTTCAACAGGTTGGCTCGACTGCACAGTGGAGTGTGAATGCAAACGCACCAGCTCAAATGTAAACAAATAGGCATGCATTTTGGTCCCCAACCGAACCAAGTCTACCGGACTATCAGGTGTGAAAGCAACCTAAGATGGCAACAGTCTACTCTGGTCTTGTCCCCACTCGGTCTAGATGTTAGCTTAGTAATTTGCTCAGAACAAATCTCAACTTCTTCAAATCGAGATCATTCAAAAACATATCTACCACAAGATCTTGATTGTGCAGAACTGGTCCGCAGAACATGACTTCAAAATAATCAGAACTTTCCCTTTAAGTTTTAAGAAAGCATCACACATTGAGATATCTCGGGAGACTACTGGACCATTGTTCCAAATTTGCTTCCTGCTGTGTGAGATTTTTCACTTTTAGTCCTGAGGGAATTGTTGACATGCTGAAAATCCACAAAGGAGCATAACAAGGACATGTGTCATACCTTACACCCTTGTTATACTGACAATGACAAGTGAGACAAGCAATCACTTGAACATACTGTGTGCGTTACACTGAGGTTCTTGTCGCTCACAGTTTAAGTAAAGAAGCTGTAACGTCTGTGTGGTATGTAAATATAATGAAATGTGTTATGTGAAATGTAAAATGTATATGTGGATGAGCTGCAGAAGGCATTAAGTGGGAGGAGGTGTGTGTGTGTGTGTGTGTACACATGTGAGCGGGTGGCTTAGAGGAGTGTTCTTCATGAATGGCAGACAATGAATGATAGAGGCTTTCCCGAGGGTACAGAGCCCTGAGCAATGCTGCAGGGACTCAGGAACATGCCAGTCTTTCATGCCCTGCGAGATGCCAGTTTGGGTGGGCACTGTTCCGAATGGGTGCTCTCCTCTCCAGGATACACTGCTGGTCCCAAGGGGAGAGTCTCCAGGCAGTGGCTGCTCCAAAGTGGTGATAGCTGGAATCTAAATCAGTGACATGAGGGGGAGAAAACAAAGTCCTTGTTTTCTTTCTTTCCTCCATTTTGCAGCAAAATTTTTGAAGGGACTAAAGTCGCTCATTAAATTGAAATCACAGTCAGTAGCATGCTATGATGGCTTTTGTGTATTTCTTAATTGGTGAGAAGTTATACAAATATAATACTGAGCTTGAATGTTATGATTTCCAACATGTCTTTGATGCAAATATAAAACACTTTTTTTTAAATCAGTGGAATGTGTGGCTTTAAGCTTGTTGTTTGTCTGCTTACAATCTTTCTGTTTTGTTTTTTCCTTCTTCTCTCATCTGCGTGCGCACATCAACAGGAGCTGCTGAAATCGTGACAGGTACTTCTTCTTTTTGCTACCTGCCGTTTGTTTGGAAGTGCTTGCTTCTTTGCATCTGTCTGATGTTTTCTATCCATTTTAGATCCTTTGAAGTGGGGTTTTGAGGAAAGGTTATGAGCAATTAATCTTACCTGCTGTAGATGGATCTTTGATTGCCTTCAATTTAGAGTAGGAGATATATATGTATATATACACAAAGTATACTGTAAAATGGTTCATACAAATTATGTCACAAATTTTTACATTGTTGTCAATTTTGCATTACATTAAACATAGAATGTTATATTGTTTCAGTACAAGCTCCAGCAGCAGCTAGCCATAGCATTTCGGGTGCAGCCCAGGGAAATTCCTGCAGGATTTTAAAAAATTGTCTATTATAGCCATGCATTGCAAATCTTAAGAGAATGTATAGGTTTATAAAGTAGCTTTAAAAACACAAGGTGTTTTTCAGTTTTGATGTTTTAAGACAGCAGTAATTTACTTGTTTTCATCAGTTTGGTCAGAATTAAACTCTTTTTCTGAGACTGATTTATGAGAACCTCACTTCAAAAGATCTGCACCATTTTTACTGTCATGGCTGCTATGTTGTAGTGATTTTATTTGTTTTGTTTATTTTATTTTATTTTATTTTATTGTATTGTGTAAGGCAGACACACTTGTGAACTCCAAGCCCTCGTTGACTGTTTTCATTTTAAAATCAACTTTTCACCAGGTGTAAAAGCTACACTTTAATCAATTGGGATTTCTTTTAATTGGTTGATCGTTATTTTTTTTTTAAAAACATAGGGTTCGCTAATCCCATCATCCATCCATCCATTACCTTTACCTGCTTTTTCCTTTTCGAGTCACGGGGTTGACTTGTGTCCATATCCAGCAGTCACTGTGCAAGAAGCGAGGGACACCCTGGACAGGTCTTCATCCATCACAGGGACACATAGAGACAAACGAGACAAACAACCATTCACTCTCTCACTCACACCTAGGGACAATTTAGAGTTACCAATCAGCCTAACATGCATGTTTTTGGTCTGTGGGAGGAAACCAGAGTACCTGGAGAAAACCCATGCATGCACGGAGAGAACATGCAAACTCCACGCAGAATGAACCCCCAGCCCGGATTTAATCCGATGACCTTCTCGCTGAGAGATGGCACCTCTACAAACTGTGCCACCGTACTGCCCAGTTTGCTAATCCCATTTATGATATAGCATTTCCAACTAAATTAGATTTGCTAAAAAGAAATGTAACACTGGCTGAAGTGAGGATTAACTTTAGAATTTTTACCAGCTTAGCTAGCTCAGCATGACCTCTCATGCAAAGGCTCATAAGGTTTTGTTAAATATATATATATATATATATATTTTTTTTTTATTTATTTTTTTTTTAATTTTTTTATTAACTAACAAAATTCACAAACTTGTTCCTGTTTGTCATGAGCTTGTTTCAAAGAGACTTTTAGGCACACTGTTGACTTACACATGCTAAGAAGTGATTGATAGATGTATCAGCAGCTAGCTGAAGACACACTATTGTTTTTTTATGTGTACATGTGAAAACACGATTGGTCAACACAAGTTCAACTGGAAGACACAAATGGGGCTTTTGTACTGCTCCTACTCAGCTCCAACTCTGCTCAGCCCTCCACCGAAAAATCACTATTCCACTAGTACTTTTTAGCTGATTCGAGGCTGATTCAGGATCTGTTTTTCTCACTGCTTCTCTGGTGGGATTGAATGATCTGAGTCGGGTGCGAAACGTGAATGCAGGACACTGATTGGTCAGGGGGAGGAGTCACTGGATCTCAGAAACTTTTCACCGATCCAACATTTGCAATTCCTCGGAACGTGGAGCAGTGGCTGGACCTATTTTTAAGATTTTAAAAACAATAATGACTACACCGTGTTTAATGCTGAAGCCCAGGCGTTTTTTGTGTTTGGTGACCAACAACAAAATTCGATCAAGCGGTGTCACCGCGGAGGATACAAGCTGCCGACCTGTTGAAGCACATGAGGCCGGACCCTGAGCCGTGGCCTCGCTTGCTCACAAAGGCTGGATTCTGAGCCCTGGCAGGCACGAGGCCCGGGAGTCCAAGACGGAGGGTGGAAACGTTTTTTTTTTTTTTGATATAAAACATTATTTTTTTTACATTTTATGTATAAAAAATAATGTTTTATATCAGTGAATAATAAAAATAAATAAACGGTGCCGGCTTTATCATGGAATCCTGTTTTTGCTTTGACTTTATTAAATAATCTCTTAATTAAAGTTAACTCAGCTGAAAAATAATAAAAAGACAAAATTATTGGATCTCTCAGGAATATTTCCCTCAAACATGTTTAAAGAAGAGCTACGGCTTTGGTTCAACTTTATTCTAACCCACAGATGCGCAAAACACAAAACAAGAATTACACTTTAAATCACTAAAATAAAATCTGTATACAAGAAACAAAATCACAAATCTAAAAAAATTGAACAATAAAAGTAAACACGAGTGCAAATACATCAAATGATGAAGAAAAAAATATATAGTTTTGAATATAGAAGTTTTTGTAGAATCTGGTTCATCAGATTTAATTCAGTTTATATAGCGCCAAGTCACAGCAGAAGTCTTCTCAGGGAACTGAATAGAAATATTCATATATAAAATAAGTTAACAGAAACATTCATAATTAAAAATAATAATTTAACATTATTTATCTGAGGAGCAGACTGATTTGAGTTTAACTCATTGCAGAACTCTCAGTGAACTAAAGTTCATTAAAAGCTCATTAGCAGGATTTTGGATTCTGGACACGCCTCCAGAACCCGCCCTGAAGTGACATTGACATTGAAGTGCGATGCAAATCCAGGCTGAGCTGAGCAGAGTTGGGGCTGAGTAGGAGCAGTGCAAAAGGGGCAAAAGACGTGTGAGGCAGACTGAGTGACTTAACTTAGCTGTTAGCAGTGTAGCGTTTACTTCCACCAATTTTCTTTTTTACCTGTTTAGCAATTTACTATTAGAAAACCTAATATTTTTCAGTTATCGGAATACAGTATGGGTTAGCGAAGCTAACGTTTTGTTTAGCTGTGCACACCACTATATATATATATATAATATACACACACTATATGTGTGTGTGTGTTTGTGTGTGTATATGTATATGTATATAGTCACAAGTCACAACAGAACATCAATTGTAGAATATTTTTATTTTTCAAGTTTATGTAGGCTGATGAATGCTTCTTCTTTCCAAGGTAAGTTATTCTAATGGGCTTTCATGTTTTAAATTAGATATAGGGGGATTTTCTTTCCCTGAGCTCCTTCTTATTAGTTCCTTTGTCAAGAATTTATTACATTTCCCAACACTCTTTGAAACTCGTTCTGAAAGTTTCCATTTTAGGGTAACAGTGAAACACAATTTGTTAAAACACAAACATTTACATGAAGACATCTGCATAAATCAAGCTGCCTTTTTGCTTGTCAGTCTGCTGAACAGCGAGTCAGAGTTAAGGCACAATGAAACAGAAGTCCTCAGTTTTTAATGACATCATTTGTATAACTATCAACTTTGCATTTTAAAGATTTATTTAATTAAGTTTTAGTATGAGTCACATTAAAAACTCAATTAGAAGCCGCATCAAAACCAACTCATCATTAGCTTGCTGCAGCTGATAAAATCTGCAAAGTTTAGCTATGCATGCTCATTTACAACCCATCAGCCCTCCCTGCTTGGTGATGTTGCATGCACATGTTCTTGCTGCCTGCTGGTCAGAAGATGTAAGGATGGGTTGCACTCCAGTATATATCTGTAAGAATCTGTCCCCTCAGAGAGAAATATTATGGTCTAAAGTGAAAACTTTCCAAGTTTATACTCTTAAACTGGCATCGTTGTGACTGAAGTCCTTGAAGCACTCAGACCTCAGAAACTCAGACAGTAATTTCACCCTTGAGATCAGAGGATATGCTGCCTTTACTGATCAAGGCAGCAGTAGATCTATTTATTTTCAGAAAACTCATATAGTTCCATGGCCTTATGGGAACTATAGTTTTACCCTTGCCTTCAGTAATTTCAAACAAACATTTAAATTATCACTGGAGATCTACTTGGAGGGAAGCTTCTGAAAGCACATAGTTTACGTCACTCCAATTACATCAGAGGTGTTTTGTACTAAACCTAAACCGATTTTACACACTAAAATTGCACGGATGGCAGCTTATTCAACCTGAGGTACCTGCTGACTCACACCAAGACAATGGAACAACTCATCCAGAAACTGCTGTTTGCTGATGATGCCGCTCTCAGAGCCCACACAGAAACAGCCATGCAGCATATTATGTCCAGCTTCAAAGACACTGCCCAGCTCTTTGATCTAGAGGTCAGTCTGAAGAAGACGGAGGTGCTACACCAACCAGCACCTGGTGAGCAGTACCATCTCCCTCACATCAACATCAGCGAGACAAAGCTGAAAATTGTCCAGCATCTATCTTGGGTGCATCATCTCCTCAAACCCTAATATCGACAAAGAGATCAACAGCAGATTGGCTAAAGTGAGCAGTGCCTTTGGCAGACTCTGCAAGAGATTGTGGTCAAACAAAAACCTGAAGATGAGGACCAAGATCAGTGTGTACAGATCCACTATAGTGACCACCCTCCTGTACAGTTCCGAATCATGGGTCACATACCACTGCCATACACAGCTCCTCGAGCACTTCCACCAACGCTGTCTCCGCTCCATCCTCAACTTCCACTGGAGCGACTTCGTAACCAACATGGAGGTCCTTCAGCAGGCAGAGATCACCAGCATCGAGGAAATGTTACTCAAGGCTCACCTACATTGAACAGGGCACGTGTCCAGAATAGAGGACCATCGCCTACCAAAGATTGTGTTGTATGGCGAGCTGTCCTCTGGGTGGTGCAAGAGAGGGGTGCCACAGAAACACTACAAAGACTTCATCAAGGCTTCCCTGAATGTGAGCCATATCGACCCCCAAAACTGGTTCATGCCCGCCGCTAACCGCA